CAGACCCATTGCCTTCTGAAAAGGTTTCCGGATCTCTGCTGGGGCAGGCATAGAGGGTGGGGTTCATTTTCCTGTAAACTCTCTGGGGAGGGAGGACATGTTTACAATAATAATTACAGCCACTGACATGGTGGACAGAGCGCTTTGAAATCTGCAGATTGCTTCACTTACATGACCTCATTGGAGCCTCATAACAACCCCAAGAAGGAGATGCTCCAGGTGCTATGATCCCCAATTTATAAATGAGGAAAGGGAGGCTCAGAGAGCCTCCTAACTTCCTTAGGTCACACAGCCTACAAGAGTCAGGTTTTGAACACAGATCTTTCCTATTCAAAGTCCAGCTCCCTATCTACTATGTCTCCATGCTCGTCTTTTTTCCTTTCAGTGTTTCTATTTGTATCCCCAGATCTTGGCATAATGCTTAATAAATATTTGTCATTCATTCATTCAGTGCCTGCCATGTGCCCACCACTGTCCTAAGGCACTGAGGATAAAAAGAGAGGGGACCTTCACTGTCCTTTGTGTGCTTTCCTGCACTCTCTCCACTCCAGTGGGGGCTCCTTAGCACTTAGCAACAAGGATTGTTAACTGAGGATTAACTACTTAGGATGATGCTTTCTAATTGTTTTTCTGACTGACTATTTAGGAAGATACTTTGTTTGGCTGATGACTGACTCCCTGACTGACTACTTAGGGAGATACTTTGTAATTGTTGGCAATTACAAACAATAGAAGGCTACCTTATATGGTAGGAGTCAGAGATGTTTGAACCCTAGCTCTGCTACTTGCTTTCTTGTCTGGCCTCAGTTTCCTCATCTGTAAGATGAAAGGGTGAGACTTGATGGACTCTAAGGTCTCTTTCAGCTCTAAACCTATGATTCCATGATCCCTTCCAACTCTGAATCTATGACTTAGGCTTCAGAGCAAAGTGAAACTGACTCCTTGATGTTTGTGCCCTGCTGCTAAGGCAAAGAAAGGTTCCACTTCGGACAGTTCTGAATATTTAGAAATGTTCCCTTACATCCAGCCTACGTTGGCCCTTTTACAACTGCCATCCCTCTGGGGCCAAGCAGAACAAGGGGAATCTCTCATCCACGTGACAGTCCCTCAAAAACTTGGAAGCAGACACCATGTAAGTGCTCTCTGCTCCAAAGTAAATATCACAGGGTCTTCAGCCACTGCTCATATGACCTGGACCTGAGACTCTTCACCTGATGACTGCCCTTTGGGTGCTCTCCAGATCAATGTCCTCCCTTAAACTGTGGTGGCTACACCTGAACCATGTGCCCTACTGCAGATGGAGTAATACAAGGTACAATGAGACTAGACCCCCCCCCCTTCAGCCTAGATAGGAGGCCTCTTAAGGCATCCCATGAGCCCCTACCCTGGGGCTATTTCTCTAAGACCACAGTGCCCAGAGTTAGGGACAGAGCTTGTAGTCCTGGAATTAGCCTGAGTTAGGTGGCTCACTTAGGGCTCAAACACCCAGTCCAGGCTTCTGACAATGTGATGACACATCCCCAGAATCTTTAGAGCTTTCAAGGAGGAGAGGGTACTGCATGGTGACTAGGACTTAGGACCACCCTGTTATATGGTAGCAATTCTACTTCTAATTGGCATGTCTAATGTCCAGGAGAGGAGCAACCAGGGGGAGGGAAGAAGACCACGTTCTTGTTCAGTACTCCTAGGACCTCGCTGGGTGGTTCACTGGGAAAAGTGATGGACCTGGAGTCAGGAGAACAAGAGTTCAAATCCAGCTTCAGACACATAACACTTACTAGGTGTGTGACTCTGGGCAAGTCATTTAACCCCAATTGCCTCACCAAAAAAAAAAAAAAAAGACCTGCCTCAAGCACTTACTAGTTGTGTGACACTGGGCGAGTCAGCCTCTCTCTAGCTCAAGTTTCCTCATTTGTAAAATGAGGATAATAAAATCACCTCCCTCCCAGGGTCTTTATGAAGACAAGATGAAGTGATAATTGTAGAGCACTTGTAAACCTTAAATTGTATACCAGCTGTTATTATTAGGTCACCGCCTAGCACATACTAGGCACTGGATGAATGAATAAAGTCATTTATTAAGTTCCTATTATGTGCTAAGCATTGGGGAAATGAATATAAAAGCAAGGCAACCCTTGCCCTCATGGGGTTCACATTCTAAGAAGGAGCAACACTAGAGGGAAGCGGCATCCAGGGAGGGGTGGGAGGGGCGTTTCGGTGAGGGAAATCACAGGAAGGTGCATGGAACCGTCGCAGAGCAGACTGACCAATCCTTTGTGCCAGACGCAGTTGTAGAGTTCATCTGATTTTATTTCTTAACATGAGATCTAAATCTGTCATTCTGAGGTTACACACACACACACACACACACACACACACACACACACACTCCATTGTTCCTACGTCTACTTTCTAGGGACAAGTCTCATCCCCTTTTCATATGACAGCTGGCTATAAATAGTTCCATGGATGAGAGTTGTTAGAGTAAGAGATGAAATGTAGGGGAGGAGAGGGAGAGAAGTGGGTACTTACATGGGAGAGGAGTAGGTGTCAAGCAAATGACACATAGATGCTCTGGTCTATTGAGTGAGTTAATAGATTGACTGATTAATGAATCAATGGCATAAGGAAAGATCTGGTACACAAAGGAAGCCTTCATGAGGGTGAACCAGGGCCTTACATTGGCTCCAATACGGGCAGATGCCTCGTGGTGTTTTAAGCGTGTTCCTGAAAAGCTGTTTGTAAATAAAACTTTTGTAAATGGAATGTTATTTAAAGGCCACAGTGGGACTTCTTATCTAAAGGCCTGTCGGCCCCCAGCCTGGTTATGCTTTCACCCCATCTGCATTTCTAGCTGCTTACTCATCTGGTTCTGTTGGCCCGTCCTCCTCCCACTCCCAGTCTGCTTCTGTTTATCCCCATGATGTTGACGCTCTGGCTTCTGCCGTGCCATCACCTCCAGGGGATTCTGAGCTAACCCAGCTACATTCTGGTCCAAAGACTGAAAGTGTTGGCTCTGAAATCTATAGTAGTACAGGGCAACCTACCCTTCAGTTCAAAAGAGCTGGAAGGGACCTGAGAGGCCCTTTCCTTTAAGGCATTAAGAAGTTAGGGTCACATTCAGTTAAGTGACAGCCATGATTCAGCCCAGGCCTTCTGACTCCAAATCTAGTACCTTTCCCACTGTACTATCCTACCTCAAATAATTTCAGGTAATCGATCTCAGAAGCACAGAATGGAGGACAACAGAATGGCTAGGTAACAGTATCAGGGGAGAAAGATCTAGGTGTTATAGTGGACCACAAACTTGTCATGAATCAAATGTGTGTTTTGACACCCAAACAGCTCTTCTAGGCTGCATTAAGGGAGACATAATGTACTTTGTCACCTTCAGTGCATGCCTGAAATGCTGTGGTCAGTCCTAGGGGCCCCATTATTGTTGTCAGTGTTTGAAGAGTTGTCATATGGGCAGTAGATAGAGCACCAGCCCTGGAGTCAGGAGGACCTGAGTTCAAATCTGGTTTCAGACACATAATACTTACTAGCTGTGTGACCCTGGGCAAGTCATTTAACCCCATTGCTTAGCCAAAAAAAAAAAAGAGTTGTGACATGGAAGAAAGATAAGATTTTTTTTGTCTATTTGGTCCTAGAGGGCAGAATTAAGAGTAATGGGGAGGTAAAGAATGTCAAATTTGGGTGTCAGGTAAGGAAGAATTGATTAACAATTAGATTTTGAGTAAAAAATGGAACCAGCTGATTTAGAAGGGAGGGAGTTTTCCCTCACTGAAGGTCTTCAAGCAAAGGTTGAATGGTGACTTATCAGGGATGCTCTAAAGGCGATTCTGAGACTAGATGGTCCCTGAGGTACCTCCCAAATGGGAGTTTCTATGATTCCACCTGTGATACCATTTGATTCAATACCAGGTGGCACAGTAGACAGAGCCCTGGGCCTGGAGTCCGGAAGATCTGCGTTCAAACCCAACCTCAGGCCCTCAACTGTAAAATGGAGATCATAAGAGTACCTGCCTCCCAGGGCTATTGTGAGGATCAAATGATGTCATTGCAGAGAGTTTTGAAAACCTTAAAGTGCTTTGTAAATGTGGAGGAAGAGGAGGAGGAGGAGGAGGAGGAGGAGGACTGGTGGTGGTGGTGGTGGTGGTGGTTGTAGTCTTATAGGGAATAGAGTACAGGACTTAGAGGCATAAAGACCTGAGCTCAAATCTCACTACAGACATGCAGTAGCTGTGATCCAAGACAAGAGACATAGTCTCTCTGATTCCCAGTTTTCCCATCTGTAAAATGGAGATAATAGTTGCTGTGGTACTTTCGTCACAGGGTTGTCATGAGTGAGGTTCAAATAAGAAAATGAATGTAAGGGGCTTCCCGCCACTTAAAGCACCGTCAATATCATGGGGAGGGGCAGGGATCAGGGCTGTGTTATAATTGGTAGAAGGAATCTGAATGAGGAAACGCCCTCTTCCCATGCAGATGGCACCTGTGCTGTGAATTATAACATTAAAGAGTTGTCTGGGTCACTTTCTATAATAACAAGGTCATCTACTGCTACTACTGTCATTGCCACTGCTACAGCTGCTGCTGCTGCTGCTGCTGTTTCTACTGTCATTACTACATCTATATTATCTGCTTATATATCAACACAAAGTGTGGGTTCTTTAGGATTTGGGGGGCTCATACGTAATGCTGGTATGGAGGGATGGGGAGAGTATCTTATATCCTTTATAAGATAACTGTTACAGCAGGATTTTGTCATAAGGATTAATAATATGTGGGGCTACTATGGACCAAGCATTGTGTTAGGTAGTAGGGAGGCAAAGACAAAAATGAAACTGTCCTTGCCCTCAGGGAGCTTATATTCCCCTGGGGGTTATCAAACATAATAACTGGATCTCTCTTGTTCCAGATGCCTGCCTCAGGCATGGGATAGCTAAGGGGCCAGCCAGTATTGGTCCTCTATCCTTGTTTCTGTCCTTCTTTGACAGATGTGCCCAGATGCTGGTGAAGCATGGTGCCCAGGTAAACCAAGTGAGCAGCGAGGGCCAGGAAAGCCCCCTTCACATTGCAGCGAAACACGGCCTTGTGGATCATACTCTCCTTTACTTACAACATGGGGCCAGTGTGGACACTAGGAACAGACATGAAGAGACACCCCTCAGCGTGGCTTGTGGCCAAGCCCAGGAGCCCCATGGCCAGGAGCCCTACTTGGAGGTGTGCTGCCTGCTGCTGAGCCATGGTGCAGATGCCAACGCCACCGATGAGGAAGAGAAGAGTCCCCTCCACAAGGCCTGCAAGAATGCCAGCCACTCCCTGGTCCAGCTGCTGCTCCAGAACCGAGCCAAGGTGAACGTTTTTGACTACAATGGCACCTCCCCCATGGCCTGTGTTCTGCAGAGTGCCTCCTTCAAGAGGGAGTGCAGACCCCACCAGACCGTACAAATGCTCCTCAATCATGGCTCCCAGAGGATTTGGCCAGGGGCTTTTGAGAAGGTACGGTGTGAAGAGCTGGCTGGGTTTGCCAGCCATTTGTCTAAAAAGGATCTGAGGGGGTTACAGACTTCAAGCCTAATCCAAATCAAAAGCATTGAGTGAATTAATCAGATTCAGAATGGGAAACAGCCTTAGAGGGCAGCATCTACTTCAACCCCTTCATTTTACAGAGGAGGAAACACAGGGTGCTCCATATAGAACACCTGATTTTAAATGTTCGTTCAATGAGTAGGCATGAATTCAGGGGCAGAAAGGGCCCTAAAAGCCATCTACTGTGATTGATCTTGGACTGCAATAAGAGAAAATATAAGGAATAAGGAAGGAATATCTCTCTGCAAGCATAAGGAGGGAAGAAATGGCTTCTCGATATTTTGTATAATCCTCACCACAGCCCTGTGAGGCAGGTGCTAGGGATATTACGAGCAGTGAGAGATAAAGTGCAGGACTTGGAGTAAGGAAGACCTGAGTTCAAGTCCTGCCTCAGACTCTTATGAGCCACCTGACCCTGGTCAAGTCACTTAACATCTCTGGGCTTCAGTTTCTCCATATGTAAAATGAAAGGGTTGGACAAAATAGCCTCTGGAGTCTAGTCCAGCCCTGCAGTAGGGCCCTATGCCTTATGGAGACCATGACAGGTAGCACACAGTGCCTGCTGGCCTCAGGCTTGGCCCCACAGCCACCAACGCAAAATAATTCGCTGGTAACCAAAAGCAGCACCAGCTTTGGCTTGGTCATGGGTGGAGTGAGTGAAAGGATTTCCCCAGAGAGGGGGTCATCACCCAAGGCTCAGCTAACCCAGCAGCTGAACAGAGCCTCCCCACCCCACAAAGGTGGCTCCATGGACAATCAAAGTGCACAGTGAACATGCTGCCCAAGGCCAATAGCCATACTTTAAATAGAGTCGAGGCTCATTCACTGGTGCTCAGAATTCCTGAGGCCAAAGGTTTCCCAGACACTACATGGCAGATTGTGGGTTTGCGGCTCTCAGACAAAGGCAGGAAAATAGGAAACAGCAGACAGGGTGGCTTGTGGGCTCAGGTGGCAGGAGGCCAAGCTCTGTCACTCGCCCAGAAATAGGTGAGTAGGCCACGCCAGGCTTCGCTGCCTCTGTGACTCTGATCATTCCCAGTCCAGGGCTAACCAATCATACTGAAATATGGTTATTAGAATATTTTCAAATGAGTATGTGGACCTCAAGTTAAGACCCCCTGCTTCGGGAAGAGTTGACTTTATGGTCATGCACCCTCGCTATGAGAGCACATCAATTCTAGGAATCTGCTGGATGCTTAATTAATTGAATTCTTGTCCAACCATAGAAAGTTAGAGCTCAAAGAGACCATGGAGACCACCTGGCTTAACTCTGTCATTTTTAAGATGGAAAAAGTGAGGCCCAGAGAGGACATATGGCTGTCCTAAAGTCACACAGGAAGCTCATGGGATTTTGATTTTGCTAAAAAGACTGTGGAGTCTCTTCCATCCAGTCTGGCCCCATCTTTGTCCAAGATGAAGGTTTCATCACAGGCTCATGAGAATGTAGACAATGCCAAGGGAGGGAAGAGCCTTGAAACAATGATCTAATGTGGCTCTCAGTTTTTGAATGAAACTCAAATCCAGACAGAATCTAAGCAACATACCTCAGGTCACAGAGACATAGAGTCAGGCCTAAAACCCACATCTTGGGACTCTCATTAACAATCATCATGGGGCAGCTAGGTGGTGCAGTGGATAGAGAACAAGCCCTGGAGTCAGGAGGACCTGAGTTCAAATCCAGCCTCAGACACATAACATGCACTACCTGTGTGACCCTGGGCAAGTTACTTAACCCCATTGCCTAGCCAAAAGAAAAAAAGGAATCATCGTGACTGGCATTTACCCATATACATCGTGTCTTATGCATATTCTCTCCTCTGAGCCTCACAATAACCCTGTGAGGTAGGTGTGATTACTGCTCCTGTTTTACAAATGAGGCAGCTAAGGCACAGAGTCACACAGCTAGTGAATATCAGAGGTGAGACCCTAAGTACAGGGTTCTTTACATGCTATGTGGCTTCCATATCCCCAGTTCATCTCTGGACCCTGAAAATGACACATATTTTAGAGAAGGAGCATGGAGTGGGAAGGATGCTGGTCCTATCCTGCCAGTTACCTTCCACCTTGTAAGTTCTGTCAAGGCTTTCCCTGCTGTGGGCTCGGTCTCTTCACTGCAAGATGAAGGGGGTTGGCCTCTGAAGTCCCTTCCAAGTCCGAGGACAGTATGATCCACAAGGCCGTGTTTCACTGCTTGATTTGCATTTCAAAAGGTTCTCTGGTGGGATGGAATTAGGTCAGCCAGAGTTAGAGCTGGTCATTCTGCTGCCCAGGGCAGGAGAACGTGACAGGTGGGCTCAGACCAACTTTTTAAGGCCAGCTGAGCTTAGGGTGAGGCAAGACCCCAGACCCAGTGGGAAGCAGCACCTTGTGCCAAAAGAGGGAGTGCTGAGGCATCCAGACCCTGATGCAGAAATAGACTGACACTGGTGGGGGAGGGGGGTGCGGGGAAGCTCAGCTGCTGTGGGGAGGAAGAGCACCATCCCAGGTGCTTCCTATTGTATACATTATTCCACATGAGAGGCCATGTATAGAGAGCTGACCTAGGGTCCCAGAGATAGGAGTTCAAATCCCATCTCTGACACATACTGACCGAGTGACCCTGGTGGGTAAGCGCTTAGCCACTGTCTCAGTGGCTCGAGCAGCTCTCCTCAGAGATTTCTATAACTGGAAGGCAAGGAGCCAATCTGCCTTGGTAGAGGTTCACTGGGAGCTCGTGGAGTTGATGAATTTTTGAAAAATCTTCCTAATTAGGTTCTGGGCTTGGTTGTTTCTGACTGCTAAAGGAACACAAGTGTTATTAGCTCCCTACAAATTTTGGCACCCTGAGGCAAAGCTCCAGTTACCCTACCCTGGTTATGGCTCTGCAGAAGCAGTACCCAAAAATAGGCAAGGGCTAGAGTGGTTAAGAACAGGCTGCCAGTCCAAGGACTGTGCTTTGCCCTCCCTTGGAGAGGGAGCTGGGGAACTCATGAATGCCTTAGCCCTGATTTCCTTGTTATCATTTGATCCCTCCATCTACATCTAAAGCAATGTGCCTGGGTGATTTCCCCCCTCCATTTTCCTTCTGCCGCCTCATTAGCTGGGGAGAGTGTGTGTGAGTACTAATGACATCAGCATGTCAGGAGAATGTGGCCACAGCAGCTCAGCTCCCCAGCAGACAGTGAGAAGGAAGCAGAAGAGGGAGAGGAAGAGGAGGAGAAGGGAGAGGAGGAGGAGAGAGAGAAAGAAGGAGGAGGAGGGAGAGGCAGCAGCAGAAAGGTTTAGACTGTGTTGGCATGAAAGCAATGAAGGCAGCCAGTCAGCTGCCTAGAAAAGCCAGGGTGGGGGAGATGCTTCAGACTGGGGATGGGAGGGGGCAGGGGACCAGAAAGTCCCAGAGAGGTGGAACAGAGAAGAGACAGAAAATGAATTCTTGAATACAGACAATAAGACTCGGTCACAGTCTACAGACCCAGGGAGGGGAAAGGAGGGAGGGCTTCTACTCTCCATGGATTTCTTGTCACTGAGGAAGGCAACCATGGGGTGGGGGAGGGAGAAGGGCAGGGAAGAGAAGGAGGTGATGCTCCTTCTCTTATGTGAGGGCTTTGAGAGACGTTCAGCTTTTTACTGAGTCAGTGGGTGGAGAGCCTCTGGGGGCCCTAAAGATGTCCCCTTATCGAGGAACAGTGCCTGAGAGGTTAAAGCCAACTGGAATACCAGACAAATTGTAACACCAATAACTAGGGTAGGGTGACTGGAGCTTTGTCCCATGGGGCCCAAACGCAGAGGGTTCCGAAAGCACTTGTGCTCCTTCAATAGCATAGCATAGTGCAAAAAGAAGCGGATTTGGGGGCAAAGAACCTGGGTTCAAATCCTGGCTTTGATTTTTATGACCTGTGTGACACTAGGCAAATAAAAGTCTCACCTTTCTGGGCCCATTTCCTCACTTGTAAAATGAAGGGATTGGACCAGATAAAATCTAAGGTCCCTGCCAGTTGTAGATCTATGATCTTAACGATTGTGTGTCCTTGGGAAAGTCACTTCACCTCTGTGCTCCTCAGTTTCCTCATCTGTAAAACAAGGTGATTGGACAAGATGATTTCTAAGGTTCCTTCGATTCTAATTCTATGACTCCAGGAGCTGGATGTGAATTCTGCCTCTGTCACTGATTATCTGCATGACCTTGGCCAAGTGACAGCCCCTCTGGACCTGTTTCATCATCTGTAAAATGATGTGGTTCAATTTGATTATGGTCCCTTCTAAGTATAAATCAGTCTCTCCTTTCTCTCTCTCTCTCTCTCTCTCTCTCTCTCTCTCTCTCTCTCTCTCTCTCTCTCTCTCTTTCTTTCTCTCTCTCTCTCCCCCCTCCCATCATGTGTCATAGAAAAGATGGATTATCCTTTTTCTGTTTGGCTCCAAAGTGAAGAACCAAACGGGGGTGCAAAGACCTTGCTTCTCCACACCAAACCAGGAGAAAAATGCAGGGGGGCTGTGAGTCCTTTCAGAGATTTTGGAAAACTGAGTCCAGAGCCACAGCCACTTCCTCCCTCCAGCCAATAGCTCTCTCCTTCCCTCCATGTGACTATCTGGGCCATCAGCGGTCACAGAGTCCTCCTCAGCTCCCAGCACACCATCAGGTTCCTCCTGAGCACTGTGGATGGCAGCTGCATTTGCGGGTGGAAATGGGTGGGAGTGACCAGTTACTTTCCATTTCATAGAATCTTTGAGGTGGAAGGGAGCTCAGTGGCCTCTCTTCCCACCGACAGTCCTGCCCCCAGACATACACACAACACCCTGACAAAAATGGCCATCCAGCCTCTTCTTGGAAGTCTCCAGAAAGGGGGCATCATCACCAGCTGGGCCAGCTCTCCTCATTGGGAAGCTCTCCCTGACACTTAGCCTAAATTTACCTCTTTGCAGCTTGCAGCCAGCACTCCTAGTTTCACTCACTGGGGTCAAGGAGAACCAAGCTAACACACAGCCCTCCAAACACGTGGAGAGAGGAACTAGGTTTCCCTGAAGTCTTCTCTTCTCCACGATTGTCATTCCCAGTTCCATTACTAAAGGCCATATGAACAAAATGTAAGGCCTTTTACCATCCTTTTTGCCCTCTTCTGGACATTCTCTTGCTCATCAATGTCCTGAAAACATGGCACCCAGACCCCAAATGTGCCAAGTAGGACCAGCACCTCCTTTTGGCCACTAGGTGGCACCATAGTGCAGAGCACAGCAGCCCTGGAGTCAGGAAGATTCCTCTCCCTGAGGTCAAATCTGTCCTCAGACACTTGCTAGCTGTGTGACCCAGGGCAGTCACTTAACTCTATTTGCCTCAGTTTCCTCATCTGTAAAATGAGCTGGAGAAGGAAATGGCAAACCATTTCAGTATCTTTGCCAAGAAAACCCCAAATGGGGTCACAGAGAGTTGGGCATGAGTGAAACACCTACATAACCACAACCACCTCTCCATGTTTGGAGGTGACTTCTGCCTCTCTTCATGCAGCTTAAAATTCCACTAGTTCCCTCCCCACAGCTCACACGCACATTGCCATGTCACGCTTTTGGCTCATATTGAGCTTGCGGTCCACTAAGACTCCCTGATCTTTTTCAGACTATTTCCTAACCATGCTTCCCCCATATTGTACTTGTAAAGTTTGGGGTTTTAACCTAAGACTTTCCCGTTTCCTTTTACCCAACCTGCAATTTACCTGAGCTGTGAGAGCTCATGGTAAGGTAATGCCCTGTACAAAAAAAAAAAAAAAGATCAGACCCTTCACTGCAATTTATAATCTAGAAAGTTGCCTGAGGGTACTGACAGGTCAAAACACTTGCCCAGAATCAAACAATTAATATATGTCCCAGCCTGGACTTGAAGCCAGGTCTTCCCAGCTCTAGAGTCATCTTTCCATCTATTATGAATGAATCTTTTTTTTTCTTTTTGGTGAGGCAATCAGGGTTAAATGACTTGTCATGGTCACACAGCTAGTGCCAAGTGTCTGAGGCCAGATTTGAATTCAGTTCCTACTGACTCCAAGGCCAGAGCTCTATTCCATCTCTTATGTATCACTGCCTCTCCAAGAGGTTACATTCACCCTTATTTAATTTCATTTCTGATTTAACTTAATGATCTCCAATTTTCCAAGGTTTTTTGGACCCTACCCCAACATCCAATGTGTTAGCTCTCCCTCCCAGCTTTGTGTCCCTTGCCAATTTGGTAAACATGTTTTTGGATGCTTTCATCCAAGTCATGGTTAAAAAATGTCAGAAAGCACAGATCCCTGGGGCACTCCACTGGAGACCTCCTGCTAACCTGACCTAGAACCAGTAAGGGCTGCTCTTTGAGGTTAACTATCTAACCAGTGTGGAAGCCAGTGAAGTTTACTCTTACCTGTTGCACATACCTCCATATTTTCCTTCAGAATAGCAAGACAGACTTTGTTATGAAGGATCTCTGTCCTTCCTTTCCACTGAACACTCCCCCTCCCAGCTCACCCCAAAGATATCTCCACAAAATAGCCAAGTCATATTCTTGAATTCTTCCAAAAACCAGGTCCTGAAGTCTTGTGCATCCACCCCAGAAATCATTGGGATCCTTTTTAACTCCTACTCAAAGCTCCGGGTCTCTGAAAAATGGAGAGAAGTAATTCCTGAGGAAGTGTTTCAGGTAAGAAAGAGGTTTCCTTCCCACCCCCCAGGTATTCCCTTCTGAGGTCAAAAAAATTCCTCAGGAAATTCTTTTCCCCTGAGGCTAAATTGGAATTTGGTGGATCAATTCTATCAGAGTAAACTTAGAACCAACTATCTTTTAGAGGTCAGGGGGAAAGAACTGAAAGATAGTCTTATTTTTATCTAGAACTTCTCTCCTGGCTTCTCCTCAAAGAGTATGTATCCAGGAGATTAACAACAACAAGTACTAATATGATTACTACTACTACTACTACTACCACTACTACTACTACTAGTAGTAGTACTACTATTACTACTACTACCACCACCACCACCACCACCATTACTACTACTACTACTACTACTACTACTACTACTACTATTACTACTACTACCACCACCACCACTACTACTACTACTACTACTACTACTACTACTACTACTACTACTACAACAACTAAATTTTACATAGTATTTGCAAAGTACTTTGCAAAGGGCTTTACGTAGAGCATCTCATTTGATCCTCATAGCAGCCCTAGGAAATAGATGCTATTGTTACCTTCATTCTCTCTGGCCCTCAGTTTCTTCATCTACAAAATTATGGAATGCATTGGAATTCCTATAGGAACTGGAGTAAATCACACAGGTATTATTCTATTTGCTGTGTTCATTTCTGGGCACCCCAGTTTAGGAAGATCATGAAGGAGCTGGGGGATGTCCAGAGGAGGGCAACCTGGATGAGGAAGGACCTTGATGCTGTATGAACAATGGTTGGGAACTGGGATTGTTTATCCTGGAGAAGTCAGGGGAACAAGTCAACTATCTTCAGATATCTACATGACTGTCATGAAGGAGATGAGATGTGTTCACCTTGGCCCTGGAAGAAAATGCCCAGAGCAGGCAGCTAGGTGGCACAGTGGATCAAGCATGGGCCCTGAAGTCAGGAGGATCTGAGTTTAAATCTGGCCTCAGACCAAACACTTGACACTTACTAGCTGTGTGACCCTGGGCAAGTCACTTAACCCCAATTGCCTAAAAAAATAAAAATTTAAAAATTTTTAAAAATACCCAGAGCATTAGAGCCAAATCCACAAAGAAGCATGTTAGACTTGATATGAGGATAAAGTACCATTGGTCATAGCTGTCCCAAACTGTCACAGGCTGCCTCAGTGAGTAATGGGTCCACCCTCTTTAGAAATTTTCAGTTCGAGGCTAGATGACCATTTAACAAGTATGTAAAATCCTTTTTTTTTTTCAGCTCAGAATAGGATTACATGGCCAACAAAGTCCTTCCTAACTCTAAAATTTGGTGATCCTCATTTTACAGATAACGGTCAAGGAGGATAAATGATTTGTCTAGGGCAACACAGCTAGTCAGTATTGGAGCTAAGATTTACACCCAGGTTTTCTGAGAAATCCAAATACTATTTTCAACATTATGTCAATATCACTATTCTCATTGGTATAGAAAACTTCCCAGGTGAGGAAACTCCTACTACCAGTGAAGGTCAGCACCTCCTTTGTATCTTATAGTCTTAAAGGGATGTCTGGGTCACTAGGAAGATAAATGATTTGCCTAGGGTCACACAACCAGAAAATATGTAATGCATACTCTAATAAATCCGAACAGGCTTTCTATTGCATTTAATTCAAATGTCTTTGATTTATTGATTGGTTCAAAGGAAGTGCCCAAGACTTGTTCACACATTATTCTCACTTCTGGCTAACCAAGATATGGTTTCATCTGATAAAGGTATCAGAGCTAAATGAAGCCAGGTAATTGACCCCTAAACTTCCACCTCAAAAACAGGTGACAGAATGTGAAATGGGTGACTTTGATTACATTAAATTAAAAAAGGTTTTGCACAAAGTCAATGCAATCAAGATTAAGGGGAAGCAGAAAGCTGGGAAACAATTTTTACAGCCAGTGTCTCTAATAAAGGCTTCATTCCTAAAATATATAGAGAACTGAGTCAAATTTATAAGAATACAAGTCATTCCCCAATTGACAAATGGTCAGAGAATATGAATAGGCAGTTTTCAGAGGAAGAAATTAAAGCTAAATATAATAATATAAAAATGCTCTAAATCATTATTGATTAGAGACATGCAAATCAAAATGACTCTGAGGTACCACATCACATCTATCAGATTAGCTAACATGACAAAACAGGAAATGCTAAATGTTGGAGAAGATGTGGGAAAATTGGAACACTAATGCATTGTTGGTGAAGTTGTGAACTGATCCAACCATTCTGAAGCTCAATTTGGAACTATGCCCAAAGGGCTATAATATTGTGCATACCCTTTGACCCAGCAATACCACTTCTAGGTCTGTATCCCAAAGAGATCATAAAAATTGGAAAAGGACCCACATGTAAAAAATATTTATAGCAGCTCTTTCTGTGATGGCAAATAATTGGAAATTAAAAGGATGCCCATCAATTGGGGGATGGCTGAACAAGTTTTGGTTTATGAATATAATGGAATGCTATAGTGCTATAAGAAATGATGAGCAGGCAGACTTCAGAAAATCCTGGAAAGACTTACATGAACTGATGCAAAGTGAAATGAGCAGAAGCAGGAGATCATTATTCACAATAACAGCCACATTGTTTGATGACTGACCTTGATAGACTTGGCTCTTCTCAGCAATGAAAGGATCTAAGATAACCCCAAAAGACTCATGATGGGAAATACCATCCACATCCAGAGAAAGAACTATGGAGTCTAAATGCAGATGGAAACATACTATTTGCTCCCCTATTCCTTTGTTGTTTTGTTTTATTGCTTCATTCTCGTGGTTCCTCCTATTAGTTCTAATTCTTCTTTACAACATGACTAATGCGAAAATATGTTTAATATCAGTGTATAAGTGGAGTTTATATCAGATTGCATGCCTTCTTGGGGAGGGGGGAGGAGAGGATGGGGAGAAAATTCAGAACTTAAAATCTTATGGAAATGAATGTTGAAAATGGAAATAAATTAATTAATTATTAAAAAAAAAACCAGGTGTTAGAAGCAGGACTTACACCCAGGTCTCTATGATTCTAAGGTCAATCCTCTATCAAATATGCCATGCTGCCTTTCATCAATATCACCATAAAGGATTTTTTTTGGGGGGGGCCTTGCAGGGAACTCTAAGGCAGCAAGTGTTTTGAAAGCCCTCTGGACTAGGAGTCTACAGGCTGAGGTTTGAGTCCTATCTTGAAAATTTTTATGATTCCAATTTATTTTTGAACATCACATATGCTATTTCTGTAGAGGGAGGCATGTATAAAATAGCATGTTTCTTTTGGTTAAGGAATACCATACACACTTTAGATAAATAAAGCCTTATTAAGTACTTGCTGTGCTCCAGACATTGTGCGAAACACTGGAGCACAGGCAAGTAAGAGTCTTTGCCCTTAAGGAGCTTAAGTCTACTGAGGGAAGACAACACAGAAAGGGGAGTGGGGCTGGAAAAGGGACAGGGGTAAGGCTGCTGCCAATGAGGTAGAGAGGAAATCTGGAAAGAGAGGTGAGTTAAGAGTGAAGTGAGCAAGGCTGGAACCCCATAGGAAATGGCACCTGTGTCTGGGTCTCCCAATCAGAGCAGAGGCATCTCCAGGGTGGGGAGGCAGATGAGGAGGGGATGAGGAGCTCTGGAGCCAATATGAGAAACATAGTCCTGAAGATCATGTGACTATAGCTTAGAAACCTCCCTCTCGGAGCAGAACATAAACGTCCCCTGACCCGTGACTCTTCTCTGCTTTGCAGATGTATCAGCCTTTTTACCAGTCTCTCTTCATGCTATCTCACACCCCGAGGTGTCTGCAACATCTGTGCCGCTGTGTCATCCGCAAGCGCCTTGGCAGCAGGTGCTGGTCCTGCATTCCCCGGCTGCCTGTGCCAGACCCTCTGCAGCATTACCTCCTGCTGGAGCCAGAGGGCTTGTTGCTGTGAACGGTCAGAGGGATCGGGGCCGCTGAGGCTGAGGAGTCCACTGTTAATCACCTTCATTTCCAAGCTCTTGTTTTCCCATGGTCAACAGCCCCTGAGGGGCACAGCCCATCAGGCACCACAGCCCTGGAATGGTCAGGAGCTTCAAGATGGTCTGATAGCCGAGAATAAGTCAACCCCCCCCAATTTATTAAGACTGTCACTACCCAGAGCATCCTAGCCTGGCTAGAGATGGGCATTTCCATGAGGAAGACAAAAGCAATCGATCCATCAACAACAATCTGTTGTTGTTATTGTCACTATATACTAGGCCCTGGGCTGAGCTCTTAGGATGCAAAGAAAACAGTCCCTAGCCTCAAGGAGCTTATATTCTAATAAGGGCCGACAATGTGTAGTTACCTAGGTCTATACAAGATGGCTTCTACACATACACTTGGGGCGGGGAAGGCTCCCATTGAAAAAAAAGGGTGAGGGAGCTGATAATAAGGGACAAAGTTTGGCTTCCAGGGCTCAGACTTGAAATTGTCGGGCTGCCTTCATCAGACTCTGAATCTACCTTTGAAGCTGAAATGATCCATGAAATCCTGGCCCTTCCCTAGAGTTCTGAACAATAATAATCTCTGACATTTACATGGCCCTCTGAGGTTAAGAGAGTATGGTATGTACATTATTGCCTGTGATTCTCACAGCCACCCTATGAGGTCAATGCTATTTACTTTGGCCACTTTACAGAAGAGGAAACTGAGACCCACAGATACACTAATTCAGTGTTGGAGCCAGACCTCCTGCCTTCCAGTCCTACCCTTTCCTCCTCCAACCAGGCACCTGGAACTCTCCTTAGCCACAATTTCATCACTTTTGCCCTTTTTTCACATCTTGATGAGTCCCTCTGGTCTGTGCTTGTTTATCTAAGATACAGATTATAGAAAAAGGCTGAAAGGGGCCCCAGATAAAGGAGGCCAAATAGCCCAGCCGTCCCACTAACACTGGACTCTGGCCAATGCTTAGCCAAAAATGGAGGGAGAACCTGAATCCACTTCAATTCAACAAGCGTTTAATAAATACTTACTCCATGAGGGTACCAAGAGGCCCTAAAACAATTGATTGTGTCTGGGGGTATGTGCCTACTTGTATTGGTAAAAGGAGGGAATTCCCTGTGCCAAAGAAATCCCAAGACCCATACCTATTACCTACTATGTGATAGGATCAAAGTGTGGGAGCTGGAAGACACCTTAGTCCGACCCCCTTCTGAACAGGAAAGTGAGGTCCACTGAGGCAGAATGATCTGCCCGGTCATAGAGGTAGTAGGGAATTCAAGCACGGGTCCTCACTACTTCAAGCGTAGTGCTCAATCCATTCCATTGAGGAGTCAGGCAATCTGTTGGTTGTGGAGGAGGTGGGAAGAGAATCCAACCCAAAGTTCTTGCTCAAGGAGCTTTCTGGAGTTGCTAGAGGGCAGAGCCTCATGTTTTGTATGCATAACCCTAGAACCTTGACCAGTGCCTGACACATAGGAGGTGCCTAATAAATGCCTATGGATGAATTGAAGGAAGTTAGGTTTTTTGAGGATTGGAGGGGGGAAGAGGAAGTGCATTCTAGGCATAGAGACAGTCTGTGCAAAGCCATGGAGGCTAGATGTCAAATGCTGAGTTCAGGGAAGAACCACTGGCCAGTTCGGCAGGGATGCAGTCACCCGGTCAAAGCAAATTTGTTTTTCTTTTCATTAAATGTAAGCCATATTGCTGTGTCTGTGAGATCTTGCGCTTCTTTTACAGGGAGTCAGATAGTGAGAAGAATGTGGGAATGTCTTTAAAGGGAAAAGGAAACCAGTGTGGAGAGTTTGTATTTGATTCCAGAGGCAAAGGGGACGTTCTTTGAGCAGGAAAGGAAGAAAGGAAGCAGATATTTACTGTTTCCTCTACGTGCCACGCTCTGTGCTACATCTCATAGCTTAACTCCCTCCAAAGCTGAGGCACTGGGGGATACAAAGACAAATGAAGCCCCTGCCTTCAGGGAGCTTACAGTCTACCAGGGAGACAATGTACAAACAGATCAACAATGTGAGGGAAGCTGAAGACCTCAGGGAGGCCACCTGGGCAAAAGACTGGGGGAGCTATAGATGACTGTTGCGGAGGAATGACAGCTTTACTTTGAATGGCAGTGAGGCAATCTAACTCAAGTCAATTCAACTACGAGTTTATTAAGCCCTACTCGGCGCCAGGCACAATTCTAAGCCCTGGGGACACAGAGCCCGAAATGAACCAAAATTCTACTGCAGCAGGAGCAGAGCAAAGAGCCCCATTGGGAACCAGAGGAAATGAGTGCAGATCCTGCCCCTGTTACTCACTAATCTTGTGGCCTTGGGCATCACTTTCTCCCTCTGGGCCTTGTTTTCTGCCCTGTAGAATGAGGCCTTGGACTAGCTGACCTCCAAGGTCCTTGCCAGCTAGACATAGCAGAGTGCATTGACGGGGGAGAGAGAATCGTGGAGAACTTCACTAAGGGGTGGAACTTCAGCTAAACCTGGAAGGAAATGGAGGGTCCTGAGAGTTACAGCTCACATTGATATGGTAATTTAAAGTTTGGAAACTTTTTATAAATATTATTTCACGTGATCCTTACAGCAGCCCTGGGAGGCAGGTGCTATTATCACCCCCATTTTATAAATGAGGAAACTGAAGCAGACAACGGGTGATTTGCTCAGTCTACTGCTACTAAGTGTCTGAGGCAGGATTTGAACTCAGCTCTTCCTGACTCTAGGTCCAATGTTTGATCAGCCTAGCTGCCAAAGAGGTGGAGGGGGGTAGAAAGTGAATTTCAAGCATGTAAGAGCTTGTAGGAATCCACAGAAGCAAGTTCAGGGAACAGATGGTAGGTTAAGCCAAATACCTAAGGCCATGGGTCCTTCCTCTTGGGAATGCTCATTTTCTGGCCATGCAGGACTGCTTTGGGTGTAACTGCCAGAAAATCCCCCAACTGGTCCTCACACCCAACTTGTCCAACTCAAAAAGCACCAGAACAGAGGAATCCCAACTCTCTAAAAGGTGACTCAGCGTGTCAAACACAAGTGTCTTTGAAACCAGAGGACTGCACAGCCTGAACACTCCAAACACATTTTCCTGAACATGATGACGTAGCTTTATATTGCTACAGTCTCGAAACTCTTCCAAACCTAAAGCCAGGACTGGCCTTACCTATCAGTGCAGCTACATGCACCATTCCCAGTAAAGGTCCCTTACACAAAAAATGTTGCCCAGCCACTACCTCTAGTTCCACCATTAGCTACACGCTCCTTAAAATCCCTCTGGGCTTTAGTCTCTTCATCTGTAAAATGAAGGGGAATGGGCTTAATGACCTCTGAGGTTCCTTCCAGCTCAAACTAGATGATCCTATGAATCAATTCCCAGGAAGGTAAAGTATTAAGTACCTAATTCTTTCAGATCAGATTTTTCCCCTCCAGTCCCTGAAGACTCCTCACTTAATAACAAAAGCACTATAGGAGGCAATGCAAAGGTGAGGAAGGGGAACAGCAAGAGGTCGTTGAAGGAAGAGCTTCCTGCTTCACCTGGAGCCAGCTCCACAAAATGAAAACGGTCAGGAAAGGACGCCACCTCACAACGGCTAAGAGTATGGGACTGGCAGTCAGGAAGAACAAATCCTGCTTTAGACACTTACTAGCTGTGTGACCCTGGGCAAGTTACTTGAAGCTGGTTTGCCTCAGTTTCCTTATCTGTAGAATAGAGATAATAACAGCCTCTAGGTCATTGAAGGGTTGTCTTGAGGATCAAGTGAGACAATATGTGCGGAGGGCTTTGCCCTCTTTGTTCAGACACTATATCATTGTTAGTTGTTCATTATTATACGACTTAGCAAATTGAAACTGGCCAGTTGACCATCTCCTTTCTTGCTATTTGTGCCTTACTAGTCAATCTATTTCTATTTCAAGGTTCTGGTCAATAGTAAGACTGATTGAAAAGGAAAAAAGCTGTGTCCATCCTTTCCAGCCATCCTACCATGATTACCAGGTTCACAAAACATGGGGTTGGCTCTGCCATGTTTGACAGAATGGCTGGAGACACACGCCCTCCCTCACTACTGTCCTGGACCTACCACTCATAGCACATCACATAAATTGACAGTATTGAATAGCTTGAATTTCATAGATTTAGCATTCTAAAGGAGGGTCATCCAATACAACCATCTCATTTTACAAATGAGGAAACAGATTAGATGGTTAGCATCATAGATGGGATATTGCTAATTCTATTCCTCCCAGGACACATCAGTCATCCACTATGTGTGATCAGGCCACCAGAGAAGATACAAAGAGAAATCAAAGTCCCTACCATCCAGTTCAGAGGAAGTACATGGCCACCAATAATGATGATACATACATGGACATGGCCATTGCATAAGAGATGTATAGACACAAATATAAGCTCCTTGAGGGCAGACACTGTTTCTTTTTTTGTCTTTGTACTCAGGGTGATTGACAAGCAATGGGGCTTTTTGAATGGAATGGAACACAATGGAATACAATGGAAGGAACTGATGATCCAAAGGATGGAAAGAACCTTTCTGTCTGGGCAGCAGAAGATGAATTAGGGAAGGAAAGATAGCAGGGAATTATTTTTTCCTCCTTTCTCCCTACTTTTTCCTCCTACTTTTATTAATACAAAATGTAACCATGTTTTCACTAATTCAGAGAAAAAGGTATAAGGCAGCCATGACAAAGTCAGAAATCCAAGGATCACTGCATCCTCTGTACAGAAATGGAAGGTGACCAGAGGCTTCACACCTGAAGCCAAAGAGGAGCGGTAAACGACTCAAGGCAGTGGGGCTGAGTTCTCTGACCCCAGAACCAAGGCTCTCGGCACTGAGTCAGGCTGTCCCCTAATGTTCTAATCTTAGAAAACGAGCCACATTCACATTCAAAGCTGACAGCACTCCCAACTTAACAAGACATACTTTAGCTAAAGTTATCTTGCATGTTGAGCATGGTAATGTCCACATTTCTCACTCATTTTTGGACTTAAAAGGATGGCTGTAATATTGCACAGAGAGGGAGGGCAGTGCACTGGTAAAAACAATGTATTCTGTGATTAGAAGATTAGGGTTCAAATTCTGTCTTGGATACTTCCTAGCTTTGTGATCTTAACCAAGTCCTCTCCTTCCTCTGGGCCTCGTTTTCCTTCTTTGTAAAATGAGAGGTAAAAAATAAAACAAGAAAAGGAAAGAATTGGACTCCATTATCTCTGAGGTCCCATTCTACCATAATGTCATTTCACTATCAGCAGAACATGGAATTCTAACCTGACTGGGAGGAGCCTTAGCTGCATTTATGGAGCATTAGTTTGTGTTAAATGTATCAAACTTTTCAAAAAAAAATTTTTTAAGTATCAAACCTCCCAGAATCCAGAGATCTCACAAGGAGGTACTCATAAACTTAAGCCCAGTACCTGTTCCTGTGTTCCAAGCCATTACAACAGCCTTTTAAACTTGAATTCACAAACTTTTTCTCCTAGGATGGAAGTAACTGAGGGGCAGGGGTCAGCCCATGCATAAGACAATTTTTCTGACTTTGGATGGATGGTTACATTGAATTCCACCGTCTCTTAGCCCCATTACTTTACCTTCCTCTGGGCTGCCTGCCCCCACCCTAGTCCCATACAGGCAAAGGCTAAGAAAGCAGGAAGCAAGGGAGTTGTGGTCTCTGGGAAGCTCACTACCACTGCACACCAGATGTTATCATCTGGGCCAAAGCACTAATAGCTCACCCAGGTACAAGTCTAATGAACAGGGTACAGCAAAAATTTTGTAAAGAAACCTTATGTAGCTGAATGGCTTGAAGGAAAATTAGAGTTTCTGGAAGCAAGGTGACCTGCAGTGATACTGGGCCCTGCTCATTTTGTGCACACAGAGAGAGAAGAGTCGTGATACATCAGCTACAAAGGGAAGCTCTGAGCTCTCAGGGAACGGTTCAAGTATAGAAGGTAGCAACAAGGCACATTTACTCTTCCTTAATCTGTCAAGGGACCCTTATTCCCTGGTCTGAGTGACTTTCAAGAGATGGGCTATCCAGGGACCTATGGATAGGATTCTGCCCAACTCAAAATCTCTACCTCTCTCTCCTTTCTTAAACTAGCTAGCCTTTTCTGCTAGATTTATTTCAAGGTGGTGCCAAAACACCTGGAGACAGTAACAAAGTATTGGATTTGTCTTGAAAATATGGATAAGATCTCTCTAAGACAAGCTTTTTTTCTGATTGGTTTGTTTGTTTTTTAAAGCAACCCTGGACAAACCCAATCTTTTAATGGATTTCTGGGCATTGAAAGAAATGGTCGAATTATTCATACTCATCCCAGCCATATCCTCCAGGTGGCGCCATGTGCCCAACAGTCTTCCCACAGTCTAGCATGAGCATTTGTTTTACCCAGAATCAAAGGGGAAGAAAGATAGAGGTGGGTAGGAAGACAAGAGAGTGAGGGATTGGGTTTTTTGTCTTTTACTCCCATTGTTGGGGGAACTGGGGAGAAGGCCCCAAACAAAGCAAGAGTGGTATCTTGCTAACGCTGCCAATTGCCTCACGGAAAAGATTCAGTAATCCAAATATTGATTATGGGATAGCATACGCCCTTCCTCGTATTAATCAGGCACATTTTATCGACTGCGCGTTTATACACGAATGCAGTGTTAAGCCGCCTCTGTTTTACGTGATGCTGTATTGGAAGTCCAATTGGCAACTGT